TCCAGGCTTTAAGCATCAGGTCAGGAGGCAGCAGAGGCAGCACTCTCCCTCAGCCTGACCAAAACACTGCTTGCAGGAAAGGGTGAATTGTTGTGCCTGCCCTCTGCTTTCCCAGCCCATCTGAGCCAGTCTTTGCAGCCTCTGCAGCAGCAGTTCTCTCCATGGAGGCCCAAGAGGTGAACGTGGATGGAGAGAAGGAAACAGCCTGGCCAAAGAGAAAATCCTCTCCAGGGCCAGGCCAGTGGGAGGGCTGCAGTGTGCCAGCTTTTGCTCCCAGCTGTGTCAAGAGCTATTTGAGGCTTTTGGCCAGTGCTGGAGTGCCCAGCAGGTCAGTGGAGCAGTGCAAGCAGCACCCCAAATGCTGGGTTCAAACTTCCTTAGATGCAAGGGCTTCCCATGTGCTGTGTGGGTGATCCTGGAGAGAGTCCATGGATATAAATGGCATCTCAGAAAATGCGGGCTTAATTCAAATGCCCACAGGGTATTTGAATGCGCCTCTCTGAAACATCACCATTTCAGAAACTTTCGTTCTCGAGCGGTTGTTGGCAACAAGGAAGGGCTGGTCCTACTTCCCCAGCTGTGGAATGCAGGCTTTAAGGTTTCAGGGTGTATTACAGGGAGATTTTGTACCCTGCATCTTTTCCTAAGTGTTTAAAAGAAGCATCTGTGAGACCCAAGCAGGAGCACAGGCACACTCCAGAGCTCTGTCTGTCTCAGAGTGGGAGGAGTTGGCTTTCTCTGGGAGCCTCTACACAAACAGTGTGATCCCACTGGGACTCGTTGAGTTTTCAGTTCTTGCCTCCAGAGGCCCTTACTCCTGTTTTGTCCTTCACTCTCAAATCCCCAAAGCAGTTACTGAGGTGTCCTTGTCCTTTTTCCTTCCTACCACTCTCTCCTGAAGGGGATGTGTGTGTAAAAGTTTGTGTTTCTGGCACAACAAGAAGTTTGAAGTTTCAGTGATACAATGAGGTTACACACTGAATGGAGCAATTGATTAATTCCCTCCATATTTGTATTCAGAGAAATGATGGCATTATCATTACACTCCTCCCCCTTTGTAAATTCCTTTCCAAATCAGATTAAGTCCCTCCTCCCCCTGCACTGATTTCAGTTGACTCTGGAACAAACTCAAACAGAGCATGGACAAAGTCTTGGTCCTGTTGAATTTAATGGCAAAACTCCTGTTGCACTGAATTTTGAGCAGTGAAAAATTCACTTTGAATGAAAGAGGACAAATAATTTGAAGCCTCTTGGAGCTAATGAAAATCTGTCAATTGCTGTCAGCTGGATTTGTATCAGTGTAAGATAAAATAACATATTTTGGTAAGACAGAGACAAAACCTCTTCAAATATTTTGTGAAAGTAGTCACATGTCTAGTACTAGAGAAATTTCCATCACATAATGAAAATTCATGTTTAAGGAATTATTACCCCTGCAAAGGTGGTATCATGCACTGTGTCAGCATTTGAGATGTGGTCATTTTAAAAGCCAAGAACCTTGGCAATGCCCTTTGGAGATGATTGTTTGTTAAGAGTGTACATCAGGAATCAAGCAATCACAGAGAGTGCAATTAAGTGCATAATCACAGATATTTTTGACATCTGTCTACTTACAGGCTCCATGGCATTTTTTTACATCTCTCTCCCTTGTGTCTTCAATTAATTTATCGTGACCATCTGTGTTGTATTTTTTTGCTGCTCAGCTTGCCTTACTACATCTGTTTTTTGGCTCAGTATTTCATGACACTTCATAATTTTCACTGAGAGCTAAAAGAACAGAATTTGCATTTACTCAGTTAAGTTGCTTGGTTAAGATAATCAGCAATTAAACAGACCACTACACTACTATGAAATGACTCTTAAGTGGTGAACAGAAAGGCAAGAAATGCAGTTTAAAAGCTGCAGCTCAGGTTTTGTGGTTCTGCACAGAGTTAAAACCATCAGGGTTCTACATCTGCTCTGGGCTCACTGTGCACAGAGAGCAGGGACAGGCCATGGCAGGAGGGGTGTTTGTTATTGTCCTCTGGGAGATCTCCATGAGGGTGTAAGTGATTTGCTTATGCCTAATTTTCTGTTCTTGAATTTCTTCCTTTGCTGTAGTTAATACTAATTTTAAGCAATGATTTCCCACTCCTGTCATTGTAACACCCTGTGATTCTCTTTTCTATGGCTTCAGGATTCTAGGTTGTAATAAACCATAGCTATCATCTTCTCCTAAAAAAGGGAAGGAGAGCAAAAAAAAAAACAAAAACACCAGCATCAGAGCCTACTCAGATACAACAAGGGGCCTGTCACTCAGGAGCTTGTAGAAGGTGACAGCAGAAAGGCTGTTCACTTCAGTCACAGCTCTCCCTGCAATAATTCTATGGTAGGTTTATCCCAGAGTCCTGGACAAAGTACAGCCTGCTCTGAATAGTTCTGATTTTTCCTGAGAAAGAGCTGGATACCATGGCCATGGTCCAGCTGTGCTCTGGAGCTCCATAGGTGAGCACGTGTCCTTTACTGGCCCAGGACATTCCCTTCTCTCCTTTCTGAGCTGATTGTCTCACCCTCCTGGGCCAGAGGTCCCTGCCAGTGCCCCTCCACAGCACAGATATCAAACCCCAGCCTTTCAGCCCTTTTGGGCACAGGCAGCAACCCAACAACCCAGCCAGAACATGTGCAGGGAGAAAGGGGGCAGGGAGAGGGCAGAGAAAGAAATCTGTGCAACATCAGCAGCTATTCTTAAATGGGCCTCAGCCTTGCAGAGCCTGGGGACTGCTGCTGGAGACTGAATGAACTTTCTCTTGTTTTGCTCACGATACACTTCTGTGTGGGTGGGCTAACTGGATTTGAAGTAAATAGCATGAAGATCTTTCCAGTAAATGAAAAACTGTTTTGCTGAGGGAAAACAAGCACTAAAAACAAAAACAAAAAACAAAAAACCCAAACAAGGTATATTACTCTGATTACTCTGAAAGTGGCACTTTTCTAAGGAAGATTGTAAGTCTGTGAAAAAGCAGAGTTCCCTCTGTGAGCCCCATTATATAACTAGCATGCTTCAGCAGCTCAGACAAAAGCCAGCAGGCCAAATACAACCCTACCATATTAAATTTGCTCTCTGTCAGTGATTGAGAGAGATTATTTGCTTGTGGTTGGAGCCATGCAGAAGACAGCAGCAATATGATTACTGAAGTCCATCCTCAGTGCCATTGTCAGAGGTCCATGCCTTTGGCACCAAAATATGAAGACTCTGCAGGCAGCACCTGCAGTGTTAGCAGAGTGCTCAGGTGAGCCAGGGCAGCATCTGACAAATGGTGAGAAACAGCAGGCCCAGTGCACTGCACCACACACTGCTCAAATGCACTACAAATTGCAATACAGTGAAAGCTGACTGTCATGGAGTGTCCTGGGAAATGTACCACTGGATAAACCTTCCCTCCATCTATGGTACCAGAGCATTGCTACCAAGCCACTGATGATCTGATGCTGACTGATCTGGTAAATCCTGTCAGTACAACAGTGAAAGAATCCTTGGTTTCAGCTGCTAAATAAAGTATAGGAGAAATGAATGATTTTTCAGTTGTCAGGCTTATATATCTGCAAGGAAATGTTCCCAGAAATATTCCCCAATCATCAGTGTCTCTGATTCATGACAAGAACTTCCAGGAATTCACTGCATTGAAAAGATAACCTGGAAAATATACCTGAAAACTAAGCATTTTCAAGGGAGTTTTATTCCGCACTAGTCAGAGTTGATGACTTTTGAAATAGGTTTTAATGTATGAGAATATAATGGTCTTTATTTGTGTACGATGACTTTTCACTTAAACTCAACAACCCATTTAGAGCAGAGCATACCCAGGATGCTGTAAGCCTCCACAAACTGGGCTGGCATTGGAGCTTAGGACAGACAAGTAATCCTCCACAGATAATTAGCACAGAAAAATGCTTCCAATCTCTTTGTTAGTCCAGTTGTATTTTTGATCTAATAATAAACTAAACTTTAAAACCCCCCATGCTCATACATTTTAATCTAGACTGCACTGGGAATCCTGTAATCTGTAATATTTTCAGCTGGGCTGTTTTGGTTTACGTGTGTGCTGCACACACATACACGGTCTGGAACACCTCTCTCCTCTGCCTGTGCTGCATGAACACCAAGAACTTGGGCCATCATTTGTGCAAGCTTCTCAGTGGGGCATGCTCAACTTCACACACATGCTCAGGTTGGAGGTGTCATTGAGTGCTGTCACTCGTCCCTGTGCTGTCCCCACCCAAGGTGTAGCTCTGCAGCCCTCTGACACAGCCAGGCTCTCCTGGGATTTGGTGGGGGTTTGGCCAGTGATACTGGGGATGGTTTTGCACATTTTTGCGCTGTGGGAAGAGGCTGGGTGAGGAACTGTGGGCTCACAGAGAACACTGTGGCCGTGTGTGTGACTGGAACCATCTAGTTCAGCGCACTGCGATGAGCAGGGACCTCTACAGGTAGGTCAGGCTGCTCAGAGCACTGTGCTTGAATGTTTCCATGGATGGGACATCCACATCCTCATGGGGCAATCCGGGCCAGTGTTTGTAAAAACCTTCCTCCTCTTCTCCTCCTCCATGCCCTTCCAACTCCCGTGCCGACCCCTCATCCTTCTTCATCCCTCCAAACCCTCGTGGCTTCTGTGGCTGAAGACCGCTCTGTTCTGTCCTGTTCTGTTCCCAAAGGACTTGGTGAGAAACGAATGAATGGTTCCAGTTTCCGCGCCGTTATTTGTCGGTGCAAATTCCGTGTACAGCAGTGAGTCCCCGCGGGGTCTGACGCCGTGCCGCTCCCGCTGCCGGTGCCGGTGCCCGCGCGGAGCTCACGGTCCCGGACCGAGCATCGGGCATCCCGTGGTCGCCATGGGAACGGGGCGGGCGGGGCGCGGCGGCGGCGGAGCGGCGGCTCCGCTCAACTTCGGCAGCGGCGGCGGTGAGAGGCGGCGAGAGGCGCTGCCCCGGCTGGGCGGGACGGCAGCGGGCAGCGGTGAGGAAGAGGAGCGGGAGGAGGAGGAGGAGCTGGGGATACGGCCAGCAGGGTGCCCGGCGGGGCGGAGGCGGTGTCCGGCGGAGGGGACCGCTGTCTCTGCGGCGAAGAGCCCGGGCTGGGTGTCCCGGTGCCAGGGAGCGAGCACCGCCCGGCCCGAGCGGCTCCCGGCAGGGCGCGGGGTGCGGCCGCCTCCGCCGGGACTGCCCCAGGAGCGAACCCCGCCTGCAGCTGCAGCCGGTCCCGGTGCCCTCAAGCACCTGCGTTTCTTCCGAGGGCCGCCTCAGCTGCAGGGTAGAAAACGGCACAAAGTTTCCGTGGTTTGAAGGGACTTTTAAACTGGTGCCGGCTCTTGGCGGGAGGCTGAGTGAGTGTGCGGAGGGAGCGGACCGAGCCCTAATCGCTCCAAGGCACTGCCCTAAGCACAGCTGTTGTATCTCGTCACCAGGGCTAATCCATAGCCCGGTGTGGGTTTAAGCCTGCTGTGCCAGTTAGAGGGCTTGACTTCAAGCCACGTCCTCCTCCCGGTACCCTCTCGGCTCGCCCTGAGTCCGTTTGTCCGCAGGAGCAGCGGGAGCGCTGGTGCCAAAGGTGAGGCGGGATGGGTGGGAAGGGAAGGGGAAGGGGCCGGGGCCCCCCGGCAGCTCTGCCAGGCTGGGCTCGGGCACGGCTGCATGGGTGATGGACAAGCGCCGGGTAACTGGTTATGTAAGGACAGGCAATCGAGGAGGAAAGCATGGTTTATGCTGCCTAATGTTTGTGCCATATTTAAAATCTCTCTGATCAGACACCTGCCCTGCTAAGTGCCTGCAGGTTGGAAGTTCAGTGTTTGCCAACCCCAGGGAGGTGCCAAGAAGGTCGGTCAGACAACTTCTGAGTTCTGGCAGTGTAACTGAGGCTAGAATACACTGTGCATCTCCTAGTGCCGATACATTCATTAAAACCCATGTGAGGACAGCGCTGTTCATGCTCACAGAGGCTGCTCTCTCTGTGCCCACAGGTGGGACATGCAGCTATTCCAGGGTGGAAAGCATGAGCTTTCCCGGAGCTCTGCCAGTGCTGTGGATGATCTCGATAAAGACAGGCTTAAGTTTTCAAGCTGTAAATTTAGCTTTCTTCTTTTGGTTGCTAATTTTGGAACAATGTATATTTTTAAGTAGCTCCTGTCACAATCATCAAACTTAAACACTGGTCCTAGTGTTCTGCAGTACAGAGAAAACTCTGCAGTCAGAGTGGGACTTTGGCGACCTTTGGTCGAGATTCATTCTGGTAGATGTCATAACTAAGGTTCAGTCCCAAACAGAAATGTACAGGTGTCTGCTAAACTGCATTCTCACCTGTGATGCAATGAGTTACTCCTGCTTTCCCAGAGGAATCACTCCTCAGTCTGGATGGAGAATGCATGTCCCACCTGCCCCTTTTCACAGCACTTAGTCTGGTCTTCACTACAATATATGAATAAAAATACTTCAGAGGGCCTGACGACAGGTGGAATATGCCTTTGGGTCAGAGTTTCAATCTCTTTATATAACTCTGTATATGAATATCTGCAGTGGATGACAGTATTAGAAACTCCAATCTGTGACATTAGTACCCCTTTAATAACATTATGTGGTCAGTAGTAGAATAGAGAAAGATGAGCTGGGGATCTCTCAGAGTTTTAATTCTGAAAGCCTTTTGTATTGGGGCCTTCCATCAGATGCTATTATTGTTTTATTGTAGAATACCTTTTTTTCTGGTGGTTTGAATCATTTTAATAACAGAAAATGTAATGTACAGAAAAGCTCTGGGTCTGTGCTACCTTCTGAACTCTCATTTACACAGCTGAATGAATGGTGAGGAATACTTTACATCCCTCTGTCCTGACTGGAAACCTGGCTTTGTAGTCTGCAGAGATCAAAGCAAGGTATAGAACTGAAGGTGTATTTGATCCACCATGGCAAGATCTGAGCAATATATAGGAGTTTTAATAACAAATCAGTCAAACAGAGCAGTTCATTGTGCTTCAGCTTCCTGTCTCCTGTAGGTTTAGGTAAGAGTTTAGTGTGAGTTGTATGACAGTGATTTTATGGTTGCTAGTGGAAACATTGTTTCAAGCATGAGTGAGATATTGGCATAAAAATAGTTCTGTTTTTCAACAAAGGGAACTCATTTGCTTTGATAAGTAGATAAACTGCAAAATACTGCTCTGCTCCATGAGCAGATTTGAGCAGAACCCACCCTTTTGCAGATAACACAAAGATTATCTTCTCTAGAGTGCCAGGCATTAGGAGAGCTCCAAGCTATTGTGCCCTTCCTTCACTCTTCTTTAAGACTGGATTTTCCTCTGGAGTTAATCAACAGAACTCTCATTTATTTCAACGAGGCAAATCTGTTTTACATTTGTGCAGCTCAGGAAGCTGTACCTGTTAGATCAGCTACCTTTTCTCATGGTGTTTTGGTTAGTGACTGAAAATCATCTTCCTTATCCTCACCTGAACTTGGGGCCCAGTTTGCACTGAATTCTTGTTTCTTTACCCCTCTTGCAATCAAAATGCAGATGTAAAATGCATCAGATACGCCTGTTTTCTAGAAGATTGAAACTCTAAGAATGTATTACAAACTGTGCTAATACTGGGAGAGATAAGAGCAAAACTTTTAGTATGTTCTCAATTTTAAAGGCTTTCATTAAAAAAAAATCTTATGAGGGCTACCAGGTGTAGAAAATGTGACATATTCATGTATTTCATCACTGTTGTGGTATTTCCAGAAGGCCACTCAACCTTTCCTTTGATAGAAAGAGTACCACTCAACCTTTCCTTTGATAGAAATAGTACCACTTGTTTCTTTTCTGTCCTGCAGCACCTTTGGTTGGTTCTGAGTCCCTCCTGTCACGTTTACCCAGCGGTGATTGTCGGTCACGCACCTTCACTAAAGGCTTAAGTGACTTAAGTGACTCTGTGACAAGGACAGCAGACAAAGAGGCAGTCCCTTTGTGTAGTGCTGACAGTGCCAAAGCTGCTGGAGCAAAGGGAGTGCAGAGCAGGGGCTGCACACCGAGTGGCAGCACGGCTGTCCCGCTTTTTGGAGCGGCTGTCCCGCAATTTTGGGAGCAGAGCTGGCAGCAGCATGGTCGGACAGACAGGGGCAGGCAGGTCGGACCCTGAGCTCAGCCGTGCTGGGACAGACAGACAGACATTGCCTGGCATGCAGGGGCCTGCTGGGTGCCACAGTGCCCTGTCACAGCTGGCTTTGCCCCTGGACACTGCTGTGAGGCTGTCCCCAAACACCTGTCACCACAAAGACGTGGCAATGAGGTTGCATTTAAAGCATTCGCTTCATCCCCTGCGCTTCTGTTATTCAAAGCTCCTTGCTACCTGTAACAGGGTCATGTACCTGGAAACGTGTTAACCACTGTGAATTTCAATTTTTTTAGTCCAGAAATAACCTGTGTCCATCACAACAGGGGATTCAGTGTGCTTACAAAGCAAAACACAGGTTTTCTGCTGTGGTCTACCCCTGAATGTCCTCCAAAGTTCTTTCTCTTTATTCTGCAGGTCAGAATGAGGAATGCTGCTGTGATAATATAATGATATTTGCACTGCTTTTAAATTTCTTGATTGACAAGCTCTACCTACTGCTTTTTCAGCATTAATTGCCTTGTAGCATCCCAGGCTGAGCTTATAATAATTTCCACTGAAATTACAATCATGTGGCAGGTAGCTGTAAACACCTTAGCTTTCCATGTCACTGAACAAAAAAGGAGATTCCAGACACAGAGGAAGTGGGAGTTCTTTGGGCCCTGGTAAGGTAAAATTCTCTGTTTGGAGAGGATAATGGGAAGTAACTTTAAAAGCCTCACAGAATATCCTGAGTTGGAAAGGATGGACAAGGATCATTGCAGTTTAGCTCCTGTACCTGCACAGGACACCCTGAAGTGTCACACCATGTGCCCAAGAGAGTTGTCCAAATGGTTCTTCAGCTCTGCCAGGCTTGGTGCTGTGACCATTTCCCTGGGGAGCCTGTGCCAGTGCCCAAACACCCTCTGGTGTGTCTGCTTTGCCCTGACATCCATCCTAAACCTGCCCTGACAACTTCAGGCCATTCCCTTGCGTCTGTCACTGGGCACACAGAGGAGAGGTCAGTGCCTGCCCCTCTGCTTCTCCTTGTGAGAAAGATGTAGACTGCAGTGAAGTCTCCCTCAGTTTCCTCTTCTCCAGGCTGAGCAAACCAGAGAGTGGTGGAGAACAGAGAACAGAGATTCTTTAACAAAGCTATGGTGGACTATATAAATAAAACTGAGAGGGTGTTGGCAGCAGTTTCTTAGTTAGAAGTTGCTAAGATTCTTTGGAATAAAATCTAAAATATATTAATCACAAGAGAAATAGAATTTGAGGTTCATCTTTGATGCTGTTGCTACTTAATGCTACTGCATACAGATAGAGCCAGCAGCAGAGCCATGGCCACAATTTCTGCCTGAGCTGCTGTTAAACATTGCATCAGTTAGCACAGAATTCAGAGGTGGGGGTAGCCAAACCAATTTCAATCTACCCATGAGCTGCAGTCCAGGCAGGTACTTGATACCTTTTGGTATCTGAAGCGCACTGGACTTTTCTGGACAATGTAATCCAAATCTTACTGAAGAGGGTAAATAATTTAAAACAAATTTTAATGTGCTCTGCAGTTTGACATTATCTCTTTCCCCCTTGACTATGTGTCTTCTAAAAAGTACAGTTATGGGGACAATTTGGAGGTCGGACCCACTTTGGAAATAATTTCTTTGTTTGTTAGCCTGTGATCTGGCATGTGTGGAAAAAGGCTAAGTGGGTATCTTGCATGAGCAAATTCTGCTCTCTGACTGTAGCTATAAGGAACCACCACCCACAAGAAGGGAGGGAAGGCATTTCCCAGCTCCTCAGCCCAGTTTGTTGGCATGCTTTGACTGGATGATGATGGATTTCTTGGAAATCTGTCTAGAGCTGAGTGACAGCCTTTCTATTGACATCACTGGATTACAGATTAGGCTTCTCTCACGTAACCCCTTTAAGGCTTCTCCTTCTGCTCCTGCACAATCACCACACCCCCAAGGCTCTTGAGAGCCACACATGATTGTCAGCAGCACTGTGAAGGCAAAGGCAAACCACAGGAGACTTGTCCAACAGAGGACAGAGAGTCCTATTCTACTCTCATTTTTATCAAAATGCACATTTCTCACCCCCTGCATAATCCTCTCCTGGAGGGCATTACAAGCTGGCAGCTAGGAGAAGGATCAATGGAAATGAATATTTTATTCTCAGAAGTTGATTTTCTATACACTAAGCCGGCCCTGCTGATTGACTCATGGTTTAAGACTGTGACAAGTCTTAGCAAGTGGTGATGCAGCCTGGAGGAGCCTGTGTCTGTCAGGTTGGAGGAACAGCCTCCAGCTGGCCAAAGACCAGCAGGCCAAGGAAACAGACTCCCTTTGCTGGGGAAAGGGCTAGGAAGGGCTGAAACCCTGTGGAAAGAAGGTGAAAAAACAGATAAGGCATGTGAATGTTGATATTTCTGATGGTGAGTTCTTTGGAACAAGAAAAGGAAATCACATGGAGAAACACGTGAGAGGGTAAAAA